TGCAAAGTTACTACTCTCCTGATAGTTATGCATCCCGTGTGCATAATTTCTATGATCAGTTTTGATTTCATCTATTCCTTTTTCGTTATTTTTGTCAATATAGGAAAGAGAATCCATTTTTTTTTTTTCTAATCTGTTAGATGACTTTGTATTTTTCCTGCGTCCCGATCTTTTCGACATATGAGACTCTTCTCTCCCAGCTTTGACAAATTGATCTATTTCTGTCAAGTCCTGTATGTCCATCTCCATATCACTGAATAATCCGCTACACAATAAATTGCGGATATCTTGCTTGGCTTTTTCTCTCTGTTTCTTTCTAAGCCTTTTCTCGAGGCAACGCCGAGTGCTCTTTTCACCATTTTCCTTCCCTGCTTCGTCTCCTTCGTCTGTTTCATCATGATTATCTATTTTATTTCCTGATTTAACTGATTTTTCTGGTTTTTCTGATTTTTCTGATTTTTCTGATTTTTCTGATTTTTCTGATTTTTCTGATTTTTCTGATTTTTCTGATTTTTCTGATTTTTCTGATTTTTCTGATTTTTCTGATTTTTCTGATTTCCCTGATTTTTCTGATTTCCATTCCTCTCCACTTTTTATGGAAGAAAATAGGAATCCCCCTTTTTCGAAAGGGTTGTCACCAAAGGGTTGTCGAGCCACCTGGGAATGGGATCGAGCACTAGCATCACTGTTAGATGCACTTGTGAAAAGAATTTGTTCAGAATCTTGACCAATAGAATCCATAAGTAACTTATCTTTTAAGATAAATTCTTCAAAATAAAAATGAAATTTATTTATTTTTTTTATCAAATTCGTGACTTCATTTTTGATTGGGCATTTGGCAAATGTTTCTCCTCCAATTAGAGAACCATTTTTATCATCCATTCTTTTTTCCATTCTTTCAAACATATTTTTTTCTTTTCTTTCATTCATTAGGAGAAATATAAAATCAGTTAGTTCATCTTTTGGAATTCTATTTTTTCCTTCGTCATATAATAAATTGTATGTTTTTTCAACAAATCGATCATTTACATTATTTATCAATTCCAGATCGAAATCTTCATTTTTGTAAATCTTAATTTTAGACACGTTTATCAGTACATTTAAATCCAGTAGTACTTTTTTTAACTTTTTCAATGACCCAAGTTTTTCTTCTCTCCTTATGTCTCCACTTGGGGAAGAACTCATATTTCCTTCTCTCTTTTTTTTTTTTTTTTTTTTTTTTTTTTTTCCTTCTTCTTCTCTTTCTCCTTCCACTAGAGTCTTCATTTATGAATAACCAAATGGAGGAGCAGTAAAAATATAGCACAAACAATTCATATTATATGGGAAGAAAAGAAGAAACGGGATACATCAAGACAAGTAAACAAAAATATTCATATCCCACGTGCATACATAGACAGGAAAATAAACATATTACATTAAATAATCAAAGTATGATTTGTTTGCAGAAGTAGCAAAACTTCTATATTACACGAATGTATACACCTTTATATCAAACCAAATGTGCCTGCACATGTAACACGTAGATATAATTCAATTTTTACATCTTTAAAAATTCAGAACCTTTTAGAGTCATCACAGGTGGTGTATGTCACGACTAGTGGATGGCCTTAGAGCGGTGCACCTTCCGCAATTTAAAATTTTGTTTTGCAGTTTTTGCAGTTTTTAACAAAGTAGGCCGTGTCAAATAAAAAAAAAAAAAAAAAAAATTATAATAATAATAATCTAATGAGATATAATACAGTGTAACATACTTTTGCATCACACACATTCGCTTGATGTAAAATGGAAGTACCACCCAGTGAGCTATCCATCAATTTTTAGTTGCAACGCCTTTAAGCAAAATTCAACTAAAACTTCAAAATGGGTAAAAGAATTCCGTTTCGAGGAAAAAAAAAAAAAAAAAAAAAAAAAAAAAAAGTGATTCTATTTTTAATTTTCTCAATCTCAATGTTACAATACATCACTAATGATAGCAAGACAGGGTAAATTTTGACTATACATTCTGCTTAATTTTTTTTTTTTATTTTTTTGGATGGAATAAGAGAGAAAATGAAGAGTTCGGGTTTCTTTGCACATTCAATGTGTTGCGTGTGTTATTTATTAAGGTTACGTCATTTTGAAAAAAAAAAAAAAAAAAAAAAAAACAGAAAACATTTGTCACCAGTTTACATACATGCGCACATTTTGTCTAACTTTCTTTTTCCTTCCCTTCTCTTCTCTTCAATTTTTTTTTTTTTTTTTTTTTTTTACGAAAAGTTCCAAAAAACATTTATCATTCCTTTATTTGCACACTTCTTCACTTTCCCAATGAAGTTAAATCATTGCATAGCGCGGAAGGTAAGACGTGCAAACCATGTGCGATGTTATATATACATAAACATATGTATATATATACATATATATGTATATGTGTATTTTTTTTTCCCTCCCCCTCCCGTTTCTAACTCTTGGGAATGTGGTAGGGCGAAAAACATTTCTTGTTGAGAAAAAGATAAAGTAACATCATTCTATGAATCTCCGATGAACATATGATAAGGATGAGCGTGAAATGTCTTAAAAGATAAACGCTCAGAGTTCTTTTTATGTAATTCCTAAAAAGGTAACGACTCAGAATGTGATAATAAATGCACTTTCTCCCTTATGAGTAATTCCAGTTCTGCTAGATCTCTATATTTGTCTATACAGACAAATGTTACATAAATATAACATCGAGTAAAAATATTCCCAATTTTTTGAGACTGTTTTTAGAGTCTAGATATATAATCAATCCAACCCACTTGGACTTTTTTTTCTTTTCTTTTTTTTTTTTTTTTTTTTTTACACATACAAAGAGATGGACGAAAAAGATTTCGTTGAAACGGGTATCTCCACCAATATTTTACATACACAAGTTGTTTTCCATTCTATGAGTGCTTTATATTAAAACATATATTTATATTTTTCTACATTATGCAATTCTTTTTTTTTTTTTTTTTAACCACAATGAAACAAGATCAACAGGAGACTAAGAGCAGTTTCATTTGTCACACGTTTGCTGTTAATTAAACTCATTGTTATTACCACACTTTCGTTATTTTTTTTTTTTTTTCTTTCCCTATGGTATATTCTGATTTCTCAGTACAAGCACAGAGGAGTCACAAGAGTTTGGGAAGTAACAAAAAAAAAAAAAAAATCAAACACATTAAACAAATCAAACACATTAAACAATTAAACAAATCAAACACATTAAACAATTAAACAAATCAAACACATTAAACAATTAAACAAATCAAACACATTAAACAATTAAACAAATCAAACACATTAAACAATTAAACAAATCAAACATATTAAAGATATGAAAGTTCTGTTCAGTTTATTCCCGTTTCTTGACCTTAATAAAGGTACAAAAACCATTTTATATATCCCCACACATCCCCATGAGCAAAATTGTTTCTTTTTTATTTCCATGTATGTTATTGGTTCAGGAATTTTTTTTCCTATTTTTGGCAGCGCCATTTTAAAGAAACTTCAAGTGTTATCCCATATTCGCTACGCGTTATATATATATATATATATATATATATTTTTTTTTTTTTTTTTTTTTTTTTTCTTTTTTTACTTTGTTGCTTCCTGCACTCCTTCCGCTTCTTCACTAATAGAAAAACCAAGTAACAAAATAACGTGGCCTCTTTATTTCCTTTCTACAAAACCAGATATGTATTATACAATATGTACATGTATATGTAACACACGATACTTAAAGGCTGATACATGAACGAACCCCTAGTTCCATTGCTTTTTTTTTATATATATATATACAAAAGTTTGCACTTATTTTGGTATACCCTTGCTCTCTATGTGTTTCTTCTTAACGAACTTTGCCACTTTTGCAAAGAAAAAAAAAAAAAAAAATGAATCAAGCAAAAAATGCAAAGCACGAAGAATATCAAGATGGTGGGAGTGTCGACTTTCCATGTGCATGCACCAATCGAATACAATCCCAAAGCAATACCTCAAAATGGTATCTCAAAATACTCACCTCCACCCCTTCATGGTGTTGTGCATACACTTCTGCATAAATGATATCACATAAGCATACACAGCAACGATGACATGATGAAATAAAAAAAAAAAAAAATACGACATTGCAAATGCAATTGTATGAAAGGAACCGAATGAGCGAAAGAGGAGCCAAGTATATATAACTGTGTTATGAAGTTTTGCTTAATCTAACTAGAGTACAACTTAAATACATATGTATATACATATACATCCATATATGAATAAATGTTACATAAACATACACATGGCATGCAATATATTATGCTATACTGTGGTTGAAGAAAAAAATATCTATCACCACCCCAGTGAAAACATCATATCATATGTATGCAAAATATATAGGCATACATATGACACATATATGCATAACATATATATAATGTACCATTTTATTGGCTACCTTTCTTCATATCTTTTCTTTTCGGTGCTTTTTTTTTTTTTTTCCTTTTTTTTTTTTTTTTTTACCTCTAGGTTTCTTCTCTTCTACCAAAATATAACAGAGAGAAGGAAGGAAGAGAGTATGTATAAACATGTGAAGAATAAATTTTGAGCGCACAAAAAAATAAAAAAAAATAAAAAAGGTTTCGAATACTATTTTGTATACATAAATATGTACATGTCACTTGAAAAAAGAAAAAAAAAAAATAAAGCAAAAATTATTTATTTATTTTTTTTTTTTTTTTTTTTTCCCTTGCTACATAAAAAATAACAATTTGAAAATAATTCCACAATTCAAACCAAAAAAAATAATTTTCAAAAAACTGGTTTAAGGGAAAGTTACCTTGTTCTCACAATTTCTTAAAAGGGGCAGCAAAAAGAAGTCAAACCAAAAATTTAGGAAATTTCTTTTCACGTTTTTTTCACGTTTTTTTCACGTTTTTTTCACATTTTTTTCACTTTTATTTCATTTTTTTAATATTTAAAACTTTGAAAAACGAAATTCGAAAATTACCATGGCACATGGAGCTAGTCGTTATAAGAAGTCAAGGGCTAAGATGCGTTGGAAGGTAAGAATGAAAAAATATCAAATTCAAATAAATGCTATTGTAGTATTATACCCTCGAAGGGGAGGTGTAGAGAAGAGGGAAAATATTATCAAAAGATAAAGAGAGAAAAAGTTATTTTATGGAAGAAATGTTTTTTAACGTATGCTTCCATACAGTATATTATTTTATATATGTCAATTAGAAATTCATGTTCATATGATGATTACACTTTTTGCATACACAAAAGTGTAAAATCCAAATCTTGCGAATTCCTATGTGTGATATCAAAATAATATATTTTTGTTAAATACTTTTTTAAAAATGAAGGGGGGGAGGAAGGGGTGTGAAAAAGAATAGTATTTCACATTTCCTTATATTATTACATTCACAAGATGAAACATTTTTACTGCATTCTTGCAACATAATTTTTTTTTTTTTTTTTTGCACAATAAAATGGAACAACAGCACGAATGAAATTTATTCTATATTTTTCTCCTATGCGTACATATTTGTTATGAATGTCTTTATGGACATTTTTACGTCGCCCTGTCTACGTCACTCTAGTTTGGTATTTATCTCATTAGCATAATTTTTTTTTTTTTTTTTTTTTTTTTTTTTCTCTCTCCTTTTACCTACAATACTGACGATAATTCACCATAGTGGAAGAAAAAGAGAACAAGACGTTTGCAAAAAAAAAGAAGAAAAATGAGACAAAGATCTAGGTAATTTTTGGACCACGCTCATAGTTGTTAACATATGCCTGATCAGCAGGAAAATAGGAACAAGGATATGCTAGAAATTTATATATGCAAATATTTATATATATATATATATATATATATGTACATACGTGTAATGTGCAAAGGAGGGGATAATATAATCCATGGGAAAATAAAAGAAAAGAAAAAAACATTCTATGTGCGCATGTGAAGGTTGTATAATAAACATGTATATGTATATATATATATATATATATATATTTATACACTGCAACATTTTGCTATGTTGAAAGGAAATAATTTTTATTTTTTTTTTTTATTTACCCTTTTTTTTTTTTTTTTTTTTTTTTTTTTTTTTTTTTTTTTTTTTTTTTTTTTTTTTTTTTTACCCACCCCTGATAAGTTACTTTATCTATACATACATTTTTGCATGTGCATATTGAAATAACTTTTAAGAACAAATAAACTTTAATAAAAGAATGTATTTCATAGATGTAAATTAGTGAAAAAAAAAAAAAAAAAAAAAAAGGTGAATAGAAGGGGAAAAATTAGAGAAATAGAAGGGGAAAAATTAGAGAAATAGAAGGGGAAAAATTAGAGAAATAGAAGGGGGAAAATTAGAGAAATAGAAGGGGGAAAATTAGAGAAATAGAAGGGGAAAAATTAGAGAAATAGAAGGGGAAAATTAGAGAAATAGAAGAGGAAAAATGTAGAGTGTAGTAGTCGGAGGAAAACTTTCTGAATAATCATCCTTTTACACTTCCACCATTTTGGTACATGTATATCTCCTATCAATTGTTCCTTATTTTGTATTCATTTTTATGGAAATAGACGGCTCAATTTTTTTTCCCTTTTTTTTTTTTTTTCTTCTCATTTTTTGCTCTCTCGTATGGCAAATTATGTTATATCGGTTTCATATGGCACATACATTTTTGTCTTTTTTTTTTTTTTTTTTTTTTTTTTTTTTTTTTTTTTTTTTTTTTTTTTTTTTTTTTCTTTTTTGAAGTGAAGAAAAAGATTGCTGCACTTAGCTCACTTGAAAAAAAATTAAAACAAATAAAATCAAATCAAAGAATGAACGAAAGAAAAAAGAGCAAACTAAATGAAGTAAAAGAGGAGTCTACCACAATGGATTTTTTCTAACTAGGAAAAGAAAACACGAAAAATTTAAAAGTGTTATAATTTCCAAAACGTAAGGGGGTAAGGAATTGCTTTTATTACTAAAGACAGTATAGGCAATCCCAGATCTTCATGGATGAGGATTTTTGGACTGAGCAATCCAATTCTTATCACATGTCAAGGTAGGAAACTAACAATGACTAAAGAATAATTGCTATTCAAATCCATGCCAATGTCAAAACTATATGTCATATAAACAAAATGAACGAATCAGGAGAGGAGAAAATGGTGGAGAAGAAGAATGAGGAGAAGGGTGAAGCGGACGAGGTGGTTGATATGGCGGGAGGAGGAGGAGCACAAGCAGCTTTGTCTGATGAATCTAGTGACTCTTACTATAAAACAAAATTCAAATTCAAAAAGAATTCTATAGAAATAAAAAAAAAAAGTATATTAAAAAATAAGATAAAAAAAGATGACAATGAACAGATAATCAAAAATGATCCTGTCGTTTGCAAATTTAACAACACTTTGGAAAATCAAGGAGAAATATTTTGCCTCATTAAAAATAAAGAAAACAAAACAATCGAAAAGGATTTGGAAAAAAAAGGAAGAAGAGAACTTAATCCTTCCAGGAATAACTACTGTTTAGCCAATTATTCTGATTCTATTAATTCAAAAAAAGCAGATAAGGATAAAAGGGTAAAAAACAACAGTATCGTATATTTTAAGGACTCAACACCATCTCCATCATTTACACAACTGAAAGTTAATCATGGTGAAAATCAGAATGTGCATAAGAATAATCGGGTACATTTGAATGCAGCAGCTGGTGGTAGTGACGTGGCAAAAGCAAAGTGTGCAACTGTTAGCGGTAGTAAAATAGGAGCCACCATCTCGTTCAATGAAAATTGTAAAAATAGTCAAAATGATAAAAACGCTGAAAGTGGTAAAAATGGGCGGCAAACCAGCCAAACCAGCCAAAATAGCCAAAATAGCCAAAATAACGAAAATAGCCAAACCAGCCAAAATAGTAAAAAAAAAAAAAAGCAAAGTGGCAACGCAAATCAATTCCTCAAGATGAATGAGGAAAAAAAAAAAAAGGAATGGTGTCCCTTGTCCATTATAAAAAAACATGGCTTTCTGGTACTCCTATGAGATAAGTGGAGCCACAAAAATTGCAAGCAGTTCATAGAGAGCAAACACTACTCTTATGACCACCTTAAACAGCATGTAGAGTAGTATAACCAATACTCGTACCTCATCTTTGCCGTTCTCCTTCTCTCTCATCTGACAGATAAACCAAATGCAAGAAATGCACAATGGAAACAGTGAAGAAATAAAAAATCTACGCAATGAATATTCCAAGTTAAAAAATGACTTGAACAATATTGTTAATTTAATGAACATGAGTCAAAGGGCTGTTTCATCTTTGAAATGAAATGGCTGACAAAACCAATGGAGGAGGAGAAGGATGAAAAGGGGACAGGCAGCCAGTTAACCGATTATTCCTGGCAATGTGTGCTAACGATATAAGGGCATATGGGGCGGGGGCATGATAAAGTTGAAAACTCTTTTTTATATGTGTATATATAAAAACATAAGGTAAATTTTGCACTTGGCTAAATTAGAAATTTTTTTTTTTTTTTTTTTTTTTTTTTTTTTACACGCCCCTCCCTGTCATGCTGTTTTTTTTTTTTGTTTCCACTGTAGCGTCACTAAACAAACAAACTATATATTATTCCAAAACGAAAAATATTTTTTTCAATTGGTTTCCTATTCCTCTTCTCCTTCGAATAGAATAGGAAAAAAACATACCCAGTTTTGCACTACATTTCGAATGATTATGTTAAGCAACTTGTGCAAAGGAATAAAAATTATATAGAAATGATATAGAAATGATGTAGAAATGATGTAGAAATGATATCTAAAGAAATATCTGTAAAAGGAACCATTTTTTTAGAAGTACATCCGTTTCAGTGCATTTACTCCTCTTCTCTATCCCCACTTTTTCCACCCTCCTACGACGTATAATTTAAGAATACTGCATAATTAATCCTTCATATGCTTAATTTAGTACACACAATGAATAGTCTTTTATTTTGTAAAAGCAGAGATATTAAAAGAAAGATAAATTTCGTTAGTTGTTTTCTTTTTTCGGTAACAAAAAGAGGTGTTCTTCAATCAAAATTTAAAAAAAAAAATGAAACATCCTTTAATTTTCCCTTTAAAGTATGTTCCACAAGGTTTTTTTCGCCGTTTTTTTCGCCGTTTTTTTCGCCGTTTTTTTCGCCGTTTTTTTCGCCATTTTTTTCGCCGTTTTGTCACATCATACAAGCAAGAAATTATAAATGAGAATAATTTCCTTCATTTATCACAGGTAAGCAGAACAACATCAGGGAACTTACCAGTCTACCCAAAGATAAGAAGACATGGAACAATTGTCACAACCGTTGTAAGACATATATATGGAGACATAAAGGTTATCTACTTTTTGCACGTGCAAATGGAAAAAATATATGTTTTTCACTTGTATGTATCTTGACTGCTTACACCAATCACATATAATACAGCTCTTAAAATCTACACAAATAGAAAAATGTGTGAACATGCACACTATATGCACATTTGCATACGTACATATTTTTATATATATGTTCGTTTTCAAATGTGTAATATGTAAATTCACACACCACTCGTCTTCCCTTAAGGCATTCAAAGAACACCTACGAAATATATGTGAAGCACCAGTTCGAGAACACATTGGATATATTGAAGTGAAGGGATTACATACGGTCAAGATAAAACAGTGGTTGCAACACATTGGGTTCTGATTGAGTTACGTATCAGTAATTATTATATGAGGATTTCTATGAACTCCATAGAAGTTTGTTTTTTTCTTTAATTTTTTTTTTTTTTTTTTTTTCTTGTTGTGCATAGGCCTAACATGTCCAGCACTGCCACTGCAACACAGATGGAATAACTTTCTCCTCACCCACCCATTTTTTCAAAAAAAATTTACAAAATTTAAAATTAGTAATTTTTTATAGTATCCTTTTATACATGACTTTTCTTGCCTCACTCTTTAATTTTTCTCGGCGTTCTTTTCTTTTCTTTGCGTTTCTTTTTTTTTAATTTTTCATTTTACAAGCACTGTAAATGCACATTGATACGTCACTAGTCGTAAAAAAAAAAAAAAAAAAAAAAAAAAAAAAAGCAAAAAGTAAAATATATCAAAAAGTAATGATAACCACGCAGTAAATAACCGCTTATCAGTAACCACGATTTTCGTAGAAAAAAATGGATTACTGTGTCACGAGTGAATATACATATTTGAAGCCCACAGGAGTGGGGGCGGGAGAGGGAAGTAAGTCTGGCCAACTTCTAATCTTTCTTCTTTTTTTCTTTTTGGGTTAGTTCGAGAAGGATAACATTTTCTTTTCATGGAGGAGTCGATTCAAACAAGCATCTGATTCTCCCTTCTGTCTGACGTGACCAGCAATGGCAAAGGTTTCAGTTTCTCCAGTGAATACTCCATTCTTATTAACCTGTAGAATTTGTACGGAATCATAAATGTATGTAACATCTGTATAGTAATATATATATATATATACATATGCGCGTATATGCATATGTAAAAATAAACTAGCTCATTCGAATTATAATCCACGTAGCACAGTCAAAAGAATTATTGTTGCGCTGATGACGTATGCTTCTTTTTTTTTTTTTTTTTTGGAATCCTCCCCTTTTCCTCCTCAATATATCAGATTATTTTATTATACTTTCCTCCCTTAATGGGAAAAATCAATTTGTTCCTCACAGTTGAATGTTCACTAAATTGACTCAAATCGTATTTTAATGAAATATGCCCAAATCACACGGTCTAGAAAATATTTTTTGTGTGATAATATACAATCATGTATGGATAAATGCAGTGCATATTGCATGATACTGTTACTAGCCTAAACGATGAACCTTTTCCCATTTCTATTCCTATTTCTATATCTATTCCTACTTTTTTTTTTTTTTTTTTTTTTTTTTTTTTATCACTCTTCTGGCCTTCTTCTTTCAGCAGCACTCCTTTTCTTCTTCTTACCATTCCAACATTAATTTGAACAGCACCATGTTCCTTAGCCGGGATAAGCCTCGATGTGGCAGAACATTTTCTTGGGATGTAAATGTCAACTAAAACTTTCTGGTCATTAAACATCTTGTCGTGGTGAATGTAAATATTTATATGTTGTGTATATGTTATGTATATATTGTATATATTGTATGTATTGCATATATTGTATGTATTGCATATATTGTATGTATTGCATATATTGTATGTATTGCATATATTGCATATAAATATGAAGGCTTTTTTTTCTTTTTAAAATAGAGTTCTTTTCAGCGAGAAAATAAAAAAAAGAAAAAACAAATAAAAGCAATATAATATAAAATGTTTCAAAATGTAAAAGCAACTATTTTTTATTTAAAAAAAAAAATTAATTAATGCTGCACGTATACATATATGTATATATATATGCATATAATGTATTGTTTTACATATTTCAAGCCTGCAAAAAAGGTGAATAAAAAAATACATTGCATTAATAAGCTTATGCTTTTTTATTTTCTATTTTTTACATGGGTGCCTTTTCTTTATGCATATTTTCCTCCTCTCCCCTTTGCATTGCATTGCATTGAATTGTATAATTTTTTTTCTTTTTTCTGCTTTCACCATTTTTTCCACCCTTTTCAGATGCACCTTTACAAAATAGTCGTAACAAACAGTATTTTTTTTTTTTTTTTTTAATGTAGCAATTTTGGGTGCAAAAATGGTGAAAGCAGAAAAAGAAAAAAAAAAAAAAAAAGAAAGGAAAAAATAAAAGCACTACAGAGTGGAGAAAAATAGTGTTAAAGGGGCGGTTATAAATACTCGTTGTTAAATTAAAATGGAGAGAGAAGAAAAAGAAAATATAATAAAATAAAGCCCAGTATAAGTATAAAATAAAACCGAATTAAGAATAAAATAAAATGGGCACTCACTTATAGCTTATATATGTGTGCCTCCACCTCTGCAACCTAATATATAACCTATTTTTTCTGATTATATTTTCTTTTTCTTTACTCTTCACTTTAACCACACGCACATTTAAAACTGCCTTAAAACGCACATTTAAAACCGCCTTAAAATTTCTTAAAAAAAATTGAGAACACAAAAATACTCAATCCGAATTTACATGGCTTTGGTTCAGACCAAGAGAAGAATTAATAATGTGTTTTGTAAAAAGGTATAATAAAGGTGTATATATATACTTCTCAAAAAAAGGGTGTTACAAAAAAAAAAAAAAAAAAAAATTGTACTTTTTTTCACATGAATATAATGTGTGATAAATTGTACAACACAAAATAGGAGAAAAATGTAACGTGAATTTTTCATATGCCTTTGTAAGAAATTGTAACACATGAACAAATATTACTACACTCCTCCTATTTTCACCTTATCCAAAGTAAATAAACAAACCAATAAATAAGCTTCTATTTAAATATACACACATATGCGTACAGGCAAATAATATGATCAACATATATCCAAAAGACAAAAAAAAAAAAAAAAAAAAAAAAAAAAAAAAAAAAAAAAGACTATATAATACACTCCCCTCCCACTTCCGCCAATCCTATTTCTCCTTTTGATTAATTTCCCCAGCGGTTTAAACTGAATTGGAGTAAAAACAGGAAAAAAGAATTTTTCAAAGCAAAAGAAAGAAATAATTTTTTTTTTTTACATACACCAGCAAAAAATATTTACCGGTTTGTATGGATCTCACTTATATTTTTGCATGTTATCACAAAAAAAAACGTCTATAAACAAACAGTTTATTTTTTTATTTTTTTGCGCACATCATGTTTTGCCACGACAACTGTAAAGTAACATATTCATTTGCACATTTTTACATCTGAGTCCAAGTAGAGAAAACACATAAACAATGAAAAGTTGCCTCTTCTTGCTCCATCTGCAAGCAAATTGGATTTCTTCAAAGAAAAATTGGACTACATATAAATAAGAATGTTCTCTCACCCCTTCATTATTCTTGTCCGAACACTTAAAACGTGCTAAATTTTATTACTTCTTTCATTTTGTTTAACTTTATTTTTTTTTTTATTTTGAAAGGGACACACATAATTGTTATATTTCTACCTACGCAATGATGCATGGTTAAGCTCTCCTATTTTTGCAGAAAAAAAAAAAAATCTTCCTAAAATTCTTCCCCCCCATACCTATATTTCCATAAAATATATATGTACATATCACTAAGTTAACTTTGGAAAAAATCCTAAACAATGGAGGAATATTCTGTTAGCGAAAACTTAAAGCTAGACCATATGCACTTGAATAGGAAACTGTTAAGTAACAATGTAAAATAAGCAAAAGAAATAATAAAAAAAAAAAAAAAAAAAGTGAACGATCGCACAATGGGCCATTCATTTTATTCATTATCAAATTCATAACACCACCAAGTTCTTATGATGAGGCAATAAAAAATTTCATTTGACCATTAAATCATGACCATTGATTATATATGTGTTCATTTTGTGAACACCGTTTCTATATCTTCATGATATGGAACATAACACGTGTTAAAATTTTGCACATTTTGATGGTTTTTACCCGTTCTACATCCCTCACCGCGTCACTCTGCATATGTGCATATACATATATATATATATATATATATATATATATATATATATATTCCCCTTTTTGTGTTTTTCCTTCACCCCACCCCCATAAGACAAAACATTGTATGAACTACAATGGTATGTAGTGCCTGAACTCTCTGAGAAGGACCATAAAGGAAGCATGGGAAAAATATGCATTGTTGGAGGGAGTGAAATATACAGTGGTGCACCCTTCTTATCAGCCATGAGTACTTTGAGATTAGGAGCTGATTTGTGTTTCGTTATCACTTCAGAAGGAAGCGCAATTCCTATAAAGTGCTACAGCCCAGAGTTAATTGTATACCCATATTTACACAACAGAAAATCCAAAATAAATAATATACAAGATGGAGAATTAGGAAATTGTATTGAATATTTAATGAACAGAATTGATTGCTGTGTTATTGGACCAGGTTTGGGGACTATTGATGACTGTGTAACGAAAGCTTGTCTCATATATATTATAAAAAATTTCATAAAAAAAAATATATTCTTAATTCTTGATGCTGATATAATTCAATTTGTCTTAACAAATGAAGATATATTTTGTCAAATCAAGAATTATGAACATTGTATATTCACACCAAATCATAATGAGTATAGAAAAATGATTTCATATTTCACCCCAAATGAAAATGTGCAGTTTGATCAATTGACGTCAGATCAAATTATTATACATGCACATAACATGATGCGAATATTTAATGGTCCAAAAATATTGATTAAAGGATTTTATGATATTTTTATTTCCAAACATTTTTTTTTTGTTTCCTTTATTCATCCCCCTTGCTTAAAGAGGCCAGGTGGCCTCGGAGATATTCTCGTAAGACCCTTCACCTCCTGCACGTCTGTGTTTGTATCTGCAAACTTTTTCCATAACTGCTAATATGCCTTCAGCTTCTAATCTGTCTTCAGCTTCTAATCTGTTTGTAGCTGCTAACAAGCACACCCCTTGGTGCATTTTCCACCAAACCCATTTGTTTTTTTTTTTTTTTTTTTCTCTTCCCCCACGTGTTTACAGACAGGAGTACTAGCAGTTTTTCTCACATGGGGTATGAAAAAGAAAAATATTTTTTCTCTGACACTTAAGGAGATGCTCCATATGGAAAATGTGAACGAACAAAATGAATGTCTAGATATTCTATCCTCCTTTTGTGGAAGTTTTTTCCTAAAGTATGTATGCAAAGAAGAATTTAAAAATTATCATAGAGGACTTATAGCTTCAGACATTATCAAACGCATTCCATACCACTTTCACATTCTGTACGACACAATAAAATAAATGGCATTCAGGACTAACCATTAGTTCGATTACCTAAATTCAACGTAATTTTCTCCCAATGATCATAACAATTGAGTAACTCCTTATTTTGCATATTCATATTGATGTACTTTTATATCAGTACATCACTCACCCATGCACCCCACGGGGAATTGCTTATATTTTTTATTATACTCGTCTGTATATGTGCTAGTAGTTTGCACATTTGGTCGACATATGGATACAATAGATACACATACCGTACTACTATGCCATTTATCTAATTTTTTAATTAAGAGTTAACTTGTTTTTTGCACAAATGTGCAAATTGGATCAGACAAATGTGCAAATTGGGTCACACAAATGTGCAAATTGGGTCACACAAATGTGCAAATTGGGTCACACAAATGTGCAAATTGGGTCACACAAATGTGCAAATTGGGTCACACAAATGTGCAAATTGGGTCATACAAATGTTTAAATGTAGGGAATATGTCAAACATGCATAAGCTATTCTATGTATACACAAATTGTTAATCCAAGTTCGTGACTCTCACCCCTTTTCTTTTCTTATTCTTTTTTAATAATAATAATGGCCGTAGTGATAATAATGACAGTAGGAATAATAATAAATTCTATAAAACAACGTGACATTCTGTGAAATGAACATATACACACTCATATATTAAAAAAAAAAAAAAAAAAAAAAAAAAAAAGGGGATCAACACAGAATAGCCAAAATATTTCCCATTAACAAAAAAGGGAATAAAAAATGAGAATTTCGAAAAAAATAATAAAATAATAACGTAACAAAATAATACGGCAAATAACGTAAAAAAAAGTAACAAAATAATAAGTCAAATAACGTAAAAAAGTAACAAAAAAATGACGTGACAAAATAATGTACTAATAAAAATTGTGCAGACTGTGGCAAAGTGAATCAGAGTAATATAGGACAAATTAAAACCACTCGGAGAAAATGTGTTCCACAAGTTGTTGCACACAAAACGAGAAAAAAAAAAGAAAAGAAACAAGGGCGGTAAAGAGATTAAAAAAAAGAAAAAATTAGCTTGCTCAAATTGGCTTGCTCAAATTGGCTTGCTCAAATTGGCTTGCTCAAATTGGCTTCCTCAAATTGGCTTCCTCAAATTGGCTTCCTCAAATTGGCTTCCTCAAATTGGCTTCCTCAAATTGGCTTCCTCAAATGGGCTTGCTCAAATTGGCTTGCTCAAATTGGCTTGCTCAAATGGGCTTGCTCAAATGGGCTTGCTCAAATGGGCTTCATAAAATGAAACTGGGTAAACGCAAAACGGTACCTCACTGACTTTATAAATGCCTCCAAAAATAAAAGCCCAATTGAACATACACAAATGTATACAAAAAGATTGGCAAGGCAGCACCTGAGAAAATTGGTGTGCGGTGGGATGGTGCTGTCTCTGGTGCTGTCACTGGTGCTGTCACTGGTGCTGTCTCTGGTGCTGTCACTGGTGCTGTGCGAATCTAACTGACAATGTGGAAATCCATCAAGTCTTCCATGGAAAGGGAACTCTGGCTTGGGGCCTCCTCCTTCTCCTTGTCCTTGTACCACTTGGGAAAAGTGTAATGCTCGTACTGCAAAGAATTATATTCAGTAGATCTAGTCATGGAAATGGTGTTACTATCCCCCTCTCCCTTTGATATTACCTCCATAGAACCACCAATTGGGATGGTTTGAAAGCGTATGGATAAATTTAAAAGTAATTTTTTCCAACTTTTTGGAAGTTTCTTGGAATTTCTCAAAAGCAAAGCTCGTTTGTATCTGCTGTATGTAGATGCATATAATTTTTTCTGTTGATACATATGCTTGACATAATTTTTATCAATATCACTATAAAATAAATTCATATTCTTTGAAAATATGGAATAAAAACTATCAGTATATTCATGTTCATTCTCTTCATTTGGTGGATAAAAATATTCCTTTAAATCATCCAAATCATCCATGTCACTTTCTTCTTCATTATCATTTTTAATAGCATATTTTTTCAAAATCTCCATTTTTCTTTTTTCAAATGGTAAAAAAGAATTTCGTAAAGTATGAAATCCTACACCTAACAATGCTGCTTCTAATTCATCTCTTGGTTGCATAAATTCTTCAGCTGACAAGCGAAATGTTCCCCAATGAACACCTATCGCCATCTCAGCTTTTATATCACGCCATATCTTAACTGATTCCCATGGATGTACATGATGGTATTTTAAAGAATTATTCGGTTCATATGCACCAATAGATATTGCTGCTAAATGAAATGGGCCATGCAGTCGACCTATTTTTTTAAATTCTTCAAAATCTTCTTTTAAATATGCTGTATCTCCTGAAAAGTAAAATCTATGTTTTGGACCTTTTAATATTAAGGATCCCCACAAAGACTGATTTATATCACTATGGTTGTCTTTTCTACCTGACCAATGTAAGGTAGGTGCATAAATTATTTTGTATTTTAATACTTGCTTTTCCTCATTCTTACTATTCCATATACCATCTTTACATTGAAATTGTTTATGAGATATCCAACATGAAATCCATCTTTCATCTCCCCAAGATAATTCAAAAATTTTAGCAGGTTTACATCCTTCTCGTATAAAAAAACTAGCTGTACCTTCAGGTACATACCACATAACATGTTGGAACTTTTTTAACTTACATAAAATTCTAACATCTTCTTCCATAATATGATCATTATGATTATGTGAAACAAATACAGCATGTAGATCATCTGGTAAGTTGGAAATTTTACATGGAGATTTTGATATCCTTTCCCCTAACCCACCCATAATCTTAACATTTATCCAATTTATTAACGATCTAGTTATTCCTTTAAGACTTAATAACTCAATTTTAAATACTGGATCTACTAATATTTTAAATCCATCAACTACTACCAATCCAGTTGCATGGCCAAGCCATGTGTAATGTATACCGTAAAAATTTGGTTCATTTATATTATTTTTCTTATAAAAATGTGTATATATATCTGTCCTTTGTACAAATCGAGGTGATAACACTGGCATTTCTTTTTTTAAAATCATATTATCTACTTTTTGTGCCTTTCTATGATTCTTAAACCATGTAAATAAAAAACCATAAAATTTGGCATTTTCAATTATTTTCTCTACATCATCTTGAGTTATTACATCCCATGGATATATATACTCTTTATCTATTTTTATTGCTTTTGTTAAACTGTGTGGTGATATGGCTTGCTTTAGAAAACTTCGAAAATATACATAACATTCTGTAGATAATGCTCTCTGATGAAGAGAATAATCTAAACTTGTCTGTCTTAAATATTTCATGTTTTCTGAATATACACTTAAAAAATTATTATCTATAATCTCCGTTCCTGATACATTCTTTAGACGTATAGTGTTATTACTCTTTCTGTTTGGTGTATAAATAAATTCTTCGTCTTCAAAAGCGAAATTCTCTTTATCTCTGTTTTTCGAAAAATATGGCTTAACAAATGATTCACTCCTTTTTTCTCCCATGTTAGGAAAATATTTATCATAACCATAACTCTTACCATCATTCGTCGCATCCTTTTCCTCATACGCGTTCCAAATTCTCTTCCTTGTGATGTATAAAATTAATAAAAATACAATAAGAGACAAAACATTCTTTTGCCATTCCTTCCTTGGTTCGTTCTTCCATCCGTTCTTCCACCCGTTCTTCCTGCCGTTATTTCGCCCGTTATTCTTGCCGCTATTCCATCCATCCTTCGAACCATTCTCCGCTTCTCCATCATACAGAAATGGAAAAAACATCGTTCTTTTTTGTTTTACTTTTTTTGTATATTTTTTTCTCAACCCCTGCAATAACTTTATGTTATTGCCTTTTCTGTTTTTACTTCCATTCACTGCGCTCGTTACTATTTCTTCTCCCCCTTGCTGATACTCATTTTTTTCAAAATTTCTTACACCTCCTTGTTCATGCCCATCCTCAACCTCCTCTTCTAAACTACATTTTTCTCTAACTTCTCTTGGGATCATATTTTCCTACTTTCATGTGAAACATTGCCCTCCTGCTTGATGTAGCATGCTGGCTATGGCGATGATCGTTGAATCTATGCAAATGGGTATACACTTTGGAAAAAACTTGCCTTATTGACAATACAAAATTTTGTTCTGCTTAAACGAAAGTACCAACGTGAAAAAAAAAAAAAAAAAAAAAAAAAAAAAGTTCTCCACCTGTTTGGATATACTATCATTCGCTTACCTTCACTTGTACATGTATATATTATATAGGTTCTAATCGCACAAGCGAAAGAGGGAAGAAAAAAAAAAAATTCATTGCCTTTTTTCTTTTTGAACGCAATTTTTCATCTCTACATTTTAAAATTGAATTTTCTTTTTCTCATTTTTTTAAATAGTTCCTAATACTTTTCTATATTTTTGTGTTGTGTATCTTATCTGTGCTATATCCGTTATTACCTTTGTTCCTAGGCAAAATTTGGAATATATAGATTTTGCTCGCTCCAAATGATATATACTAAAATGTAAAAGTAAGAATATACACATATATGTAATATGTACCATTAGGTACTCAATTGCAGTTTGGAGTTACATTTCAAATGAAAAAAAGGCGTTATATATATATTGAAAAAAAAGTGTACGTCACAGTGATTATTTTACAATATATTATATGTATAACACTTCTACATATAACTTCACTGCACGTTTTAGAAAAAATGGAAAAAAAAAAAAAAATTTCTACTAATTTTTTTTTTTTCTTTTTTACATGTTTTATTTAAGCATTTTCCGACGTTAATTTGCTGAGTTCTTTTATTTTTTTTTGATAATCTATATGATTTTTTTTTTTTTTTTTTTTTTTTTTTTTTACACATATATATATACACATATAGTTTAGCCTTTGATACACACAATTGTAAAATTAAGGGCAGTTACAGGAGAAAAAAAAAAAATTTATAAAACTGGCCTTAAAAAAAATAGAGGTGTTTAAAAAATATAGATTTAAAAACGTTTTCACAAAACATATATAAATATATATCTAAAAGGCATCTCTAGGGAAAAAAAAAAAAAAAAAAAAAAAAAAAAACATCCTTTAAAAAATAGATCTATAATATACAAGAATTTTAAAAAAATTATGAGTTAATTAAAATGGAATCAATGGATTAAATTTGGGTATATAATTTTAGTAGAACGTTGCAGTAACAAGGTGGAACCACAAGAAAATTTCATAAAAAGGTTAAGATCCTGGAGATCATTAAACATATCTACATGATAGCAGCGCACATGCGATGGATCAAAATCTAATGGAAAAAACTTTTTTTTTTTTCCATTTTTATGATATTTGTATATTATTTCCCTTTTCGCACTCCACAAATGTGCATATGAACACATATGTCCCATGTTACATACTTAAATTGTACACACCAATGAATGACATTAGAACAAGCGTAACATATCTATGTGCTAGAGGTGGCTTTCATTTTCAGAATTTCCAGAATTTCCAGAATTTCCAGAATGATTTTTTGATTTAAATGTACAATATATAGCATTTGTGAAAAGCACCGCGATTCTGTCAATTTTAAAAGTGGAAACATGTATATTTTTAAATTCACTTCGTGTATGGTATTCGTAAAGGGGTAAGTTTATATTTAAAAAAAAAAAAAAAAAGGAAAGAAATCGAAATAGAAATCCAAATATATGCAATTCTTGATTTTACAGGGCGCATGGGGGGAGGAAAAAGTGTTTGAAGAAGCAACATAGAATTCATGTTTGCATGTGTACAATAAGCCCTTCTAAGGCATTGAAATATTGAAAAATATGAGGAAACTATTCATTTAACACTTACCAGGAACACTACCCATTGCAAAACATAGTCAGGTGTATACATATTAGTCCAATTCTTTCTTCTACCATTATAATTCATCCTTCTCCCCGTACGTAATTATAATAATTCTCCAACGCGTTAACATTTTTCTGATATCTTGCTTCCGAAGCAACATGGAGCCTTTTTTCCATTTGTTCTATTTTTTCTTCTAACGTTTTTATCTTGTCGTTAAGACAGTTTCTATCCTTTTCCAGAATTATCATTCGGTTTGCTGAAAAAAAAAAAAAAAAAAAAAATGTACACACAAGGTGAAAAAGCATTAGGTATGAATTTTTTTGAATCCACGCAAATATGCCCTCTAATGAACAAACTCTCAAACACACATATATACACACATGTATATATATATATATATATATATATATATATATATATATATATATATATATATATACATTTTAAGTACCTCCCGTATTTTTATACACGCTCGACCGAATTTCATCTCCACTACAGTTTTGCACTCACCTTCAATATCCTGACGTATACCGGAATATATTTCTAACACTGTTCTCTCTTGGAAAGTCATTACACACTTAAAATTGTTAAGAAGGTCCTCATTTTCAGAAAAGTAATTAAGATAATCGGTAAACCCATTTGTCAGTCTTTTAAATATGTAATGTATTGTGTACAAAACATTCTGAACAAAAGCGGAAATTAAAAAAAAAAAAAAAATAAATAAATAAAATAAATGTTAGCTAGCTAAAAAATGGCTAGTTTAACTTTTTTTTTTTTTTTTTTTTTTTTCCTTTAATCTATAACGGTATGTACAAAAGTGGGTAGTATCTATACACGGTGAAGTATAAATGGTACCACGCTTGTTGTAGTGATAGTACAGATAAATATGTTCTTTGTTAATATATTTTATTGGTCATAGTACATTTTGAACATTTGTAAAATTTTATACTAATTTTATATACCTTCCATTTGAGAGAAGTAGCCAACATATTTGTCCCACTCTTTCTATGTACGACCTGAATGTGTACCCAAAATTCTAGTAAAATATGAAATATTTGTTTATTCTTCTTTACGTGAGTTTTGATTAGCTCCAATGATGAATCTCTTTCTACCCACTGCAAGAGGATATTTAACACCTGCATTCAGGTTTCACGTGGTTAAAAGGGTACCCCTATATATATGTATATATTCTCATATATACATGCATACACATGTAAATATACGCATGCATAAGAGTATTTCCCTTGTGCACAATTCCTGCTAGTGCATATATACACACACACGTGCACATACACATATACACATATATACGTAATAATGTCGTCGAAACGCCCTTTCAGCTTGTAAATAAAACACGTAACCCCTTCGGCAGTGTGAGAAACTGTACCGCTGTTTCAAGACAGGTGACGAGGCCTCTAGCAATTTTCAGAAAGTGTAAGAAGGAAATACCTTGGACAAATTTTTTAAAATCATATAAATTATTCAACAAAGACATATTTAAAAACTTCAAAAAGAGTAAATAGAAGAACTTGTTCTCAAGTAAGAATATTTTTTTTTTCAATTCATGCTGTATTATATAATTAACGAAAGGGAGTAAAATATTCACGTTCTCATTATTTAAATTAATTTTTATGAATGTGTATAGTATACCAAAATAGTATAGCTTTAATAAATTATGTCCTTCCTTTTTTTTTACGCTTTCACATTGTTTATTCTTATCAAGTTCTAAATAATGTTTTTCTATAATCTTGATAAGTTCTACAGTAAAATATTCCTTACACACTTCTTCATTATAAAAGCACAAACTAAATAAAACTTCAACATATTTTACGTATAAATAGTTTTCTCGTTCTTCATTCGTTCCTTGAATTGCAATATGGCTCATTATGGGTATCACCTTTTCTGCAATTTTTTTTTGTTCACTTGTAGTTGAACAGTTCCTATTACTGATGATCCCGTTGATAATGTCGAAGCATGACAAGTGCAGCATTTTTTTTTCATCTGTTCTTGAAAAAAAAAAAAAAAAAATAAAGGAAAATAAACTTGGATGATGCGAGAAATAGGCTGAGACGAGGGAAATAAACTGGGAAATGTTCTAAAATTCGAAGTGATGAGAAAAATGTACATCATGTTGAGATATATATATATATATATATATATATATATGTGTACACCATAATCACACACATGTTTTGTGCATATCATTTGTGGTACCGTGGAGGGGAGAACTATTGTGGTCTAAAAAGTTCAGAGACAAGTCCAAAATATTGCGAACCATGTTTTTTGCTTCTCTATTCATTTCCTCGTTTTTGCGAAACTTCATCCACGGAATGTTGGGAAAACGACTCAAACTTTCGTGACTCCACAAATTTTCATGTCGTTCTGAAGAGTCAAGTCCACACAAGTGCAATTCACCATCCTGATTCAGCACAGCTTGCAGTATATTTTGCAAGATGCAGAAAAAGACGCAAAGAAAATCAGAAAATGGTGAATTTTTCGTACACTCATTGTTGCAAAAGTTAGCCGACTGAACAAGACAATTTACATGAGTGATTAATTTATTTATGTTTTCAAAAAATAAATTGTCCTCAATATGCAATCCGTTTCTAATGTGATAACTAAATAACAGAGAATCAATGCAAATACTGCATTCCTCAATTATGCACGAAATTAACCTTAACATGTGAATACAAGATGAATCGAAATTTTCTTTTTTAACCTTATCATATACAATTCCTAGCATAGAGTTCATAAATTGTAGCTCACTCTTAGATGTGAATATATTCACCTTTTTCAAATTTCGCACAATCACATTTATTATTACTTGAATAAGTAAGGAATTTTTGTAAGAACCATTAAATTGCAGTAGTATCTTCGATGTTATAAACTTATTTAGGATTCCACATTTTATTATATCTCCATCAAATTCTTTTCGTTCACTTAATAAAAGAAAACTATGAATAATGTCCTCATCTAATTCCTCATTCTGACCATATGCAATTCTCAAAGTCTCTATAATCTTCCCTTCACGTATAATCATAAAATACAAGTGTGGGAAGCAGTTGTCTTTTATTAGCCTGAGTCGAAACAATCGCATGAACGTGCTCATGTAAAAAGTGAGAACATGCGGTCTGTACATCCAAAGTGAAGAAAAAAAGGGACACAATCGGTCAAATACTCCCACTGAAGGAATATCCAAGGAGCGGCAAAGGAAGATACTAAGCTGACAATACTACTTCTAAATTCTGCTGGAAAAAAAAAAAAAAAAATTACTTTAATGCACCCCCAATTACCTTAATGTGGACACCAGGAATGCATTCAAATATTTCACTATAGACACAATCAAGCAATATGATTCATCTGAATTTGTTGTGTCTCCCTTTTCCTTTTGTTTCCTCTTCTTCAAATGAATGACTAAATCTAGCAAACATAAAAAGTACTGTTTGGTCTGGTTTACATATGATTCTTCCTCAATTATGTTTGTCTTTACAAATGACGTAGATGCATTTTTAAAATGCTGAAGCAAAATATGTTCATAAAATTTTTCATTTATACTCTCCTTAAAATTACTTATGAGTAATGCTAACAAACTGTTTATATTTTCTAGCTCTGTACATGTAAAAAATTTGTTCTTTTCATAAAATTCTAAAAGAAAATGGTTTATTTTTTCTTGCACATGGTTAGGCAAATCTTTAATATTTTCACTTTTGACAATTTCACAAATTTGATGAAGGATCACTTCTTGAGAAGTGTTCATATTGAGCCTTAAGCTCGCCATGAGTATAGAAAGTTATATAATATATAATGTGGGGAATTTTTTCTTTTACATTAAAGGAATATTTCCACAAGCTCTTTTTACTTATTCGTGAGTATGTTTACAAATATATACATCCTTCATTTGTCCGAAATTCATATAATTCTACATTTATTTATCTTTCTTATTTGACCAATGTGAAAACGTCCATCATAGATATTCAGAAATTATTTTTTCCAACCCGAGAATATTCTCAAGGGTTCCTTAAAAACACATTTGCCCCTTACAAATATTCATGCTCCTTACAAATGTGTGCATTGCTTTTTAATGTCATGCATGATAAGAAAAATAATAATAAAATGGAAAGTGACACAGAGGACATTGCAGACAAGAGTAAGATAAGTAAAATATAGTACCAGCACGTAGTCTTTCTTTTCTTTTTCTTTTTCTTTTTAAATTCATATAAAAAAAACATAAAAAGGAATGTAGATATACTTTCTGAAACATGGATAAGTGAGGAAAAATAAAAAAAAAAAAAAAAAAAAATTCTGAGGGCGGTAGAATTTCACCCATTATTTGTCCAAAAACCTTTTCCTCTTTTTTTTTTTTTTTTTTTTTTTTTTCATTTTCTATATCCGCGTTTGTATATTTTTGGCATGATTTCCCAAAATGGACATCAAAATGAAAATAAAATTTATAACTAAACGAAGCAAAGAGTAAACATTTCACCTGAAAAGTAAAACGAACGGTATTCTTCAAATTAACAAAATGGATGAACCAGACGTGTGTCCTTATGAGAAACTACAGCAGATATCCCCCAAGAAGAGAAATGACTATACCAACATTTACAATTCACATAAAGAAATGAAATATGAAATAACCTCATCGAATAAGTTGCACAAAGACCACACAATCCATGAAGAAATGAAATCCATTGATAAACAACATACATACAAAAATAATCCCTTAAATGAACACAATGCTGAGTATACAAATGTATGCAATATACAAAAGGAGGATATAAAAATTAAGAAAAACAGTATAGATTTTGATACTTTAAATGAAAGTATATTCAACATAAATATCGAAATTAGAGAGAAAGACATAGCTGAAAAAAGTTCTTCTAAGTATGCAATCCCAGAGGAAGGTTCTGAAATTGAGTTCACATATGAAAACATGGAAGAAATGGGGAGAGGAGAAAACATGGATCAGGACGATATAAATGTTAAGGAAGAGGAAAAACATGGGGTATACGAAAAAAACAAAAAAATGGGAGAAAAATTCAAAAGAGACAATTTGATAACCGTTAAACGTTTGAAAAAAAACGATACAAAAGAGAAGAAAAGGAAAAAATTGAAGCGTTCCATGAGTACTAATGATAATGAACAGAACTTCTCGGATGAATTTCTAGATGATGTTAACGAAATTTTACAAACAAGAACTAATGAACGAATGGAAAAAAAAAATAAAACTATATACATCCTACAGCACAGACAAAGAATAAAACAAAAAAAAGATGAAAAAAAAAACAGAAAAAATCATAATTATAAACCTAATTTAAAAAACAATTTCTTGAACATTAGTAAGACCACAAAGGACAATGCTAAGAGAGCCAGTGTTGCAACAGTTATGTTGGAGAATATGACTAACACAGATCCAGACAGTGACATCAGTAGTGAAAACAGTGATGGATCAAACCATAGAGATAATAATACTAACCCACATAAAGCTAATATTTCCGATTATTCCACAAAATTATCTTCCCACATATACTAAAAATGATTATCTTATTTCTATAAGCAGTAGACTTAAATAAGCCTAATATCCACTGTGAAGGGAAACTAACGATACCATTTTGATTTTGCAAACCGAACAACAATAACAAGAATAGAAAAAAAAGTACTTAGTAATTGTGTTCAGCATTTTCTCCTCTTTTGTTTTTCACTATTTTGAATATTTCCACTTTTTTTTTTTTTTTTCACCATTTTGAGTATTTTCACTTTTTTTTATTTTCACAATTTTGAGTATTTTCACAATTTTGAGTATTTTCACAATTTTGAGTATTTTCACAATTTTGAGTATTTTCACAATTTTGAGTATTTTCACAATTTTGAATATTTTCACAATTTTGAGTATTTTCACAATTTTGAGTATTTTCACAATTTTGAATATTTTCACAATTTTGAATATTTTCACCTTTATTTTTTTTTTCCCCAACCACTTCTTCCCACACCGGTATCCCAATTTTTTGTGTGCAAAAAATTTATGTGAATTATAACCTCAGTCCTTGTTAATTAAACACCTAACTAATTTTAAACATGAGGACATTTCTTCCCCTCTTTTTGAATAAGTAAAAAGGAAAAAGTATACATAATATTTCTATTGTTATAGAATTAATTTCCCTTTTGTATGTTAATACAAAATCGGTACTGTGTGTATATTTATATGTATACAATAGTGACAGGAGAGGGCGGAGGGAGCGATATTATAGTTTACGTTTCGTCTGCAATATTGCCACACCACCGTTAAATTTGGACAAAAAAAAAAAAAAAAAATGTTCACTTGTGTAAACGTTAAATGGAGGAATACTCAAGAAAATGATATTATTTGATCTAAGTATAGTTTAAAATTGCATCTCCTTCTTTGATGTACTATTTTGTAAGTCTCTCACGGGTCTTTTTTTTTTTTTTTTTTTTTTTTTTTTTTTTTTTTTTTTTTTTTTAGTTCTTGCATATTTTTTTTCCCCTGTGGGGNCTCACGTTTTTTTTTTTTTTTTTTTTTTTTTTTTTTTTTTTTTTTTTTATATGTCCTACTGCACTTTTTACGCCACAGGGAGGGGGAAGGCATGCAAAAAGTGAATATTGAATTTTTTTTCTCTCCTTTTTCTCGTTCCTTTTTTTCCCTCCCTTTTCTCGCTCCTTTTTCTCGCTCCTTTTTTTCTCTCCCTTTTCTCGCTCCTTTTTTTCTCTCCCTTTTCTCGCTTCTTTTTTTCTCTCCCTTTTCTTGCTCCTTTTTTTCCCTCCTTTTTTATCCCCTTCTGCGATTCTGGCACGAGAGGATGTACTAGCCAAATGATGGCATACGAACACCAGACAGATCCACTCACATGTGAAGATTAAAAGAAAGAACCCTCTTCTTCATAAAAAGAGTCACTCCCCTCTTGAAATTCACATTCGTGTCATTTTGCAAACTAAAATGAAAACGCATAAAGAAAAAACATTAAAGATAAGCAACGTGTATCTATATAAAGACAATCAATTGGAGCTCATAAAAGAATTAGAAAATGTCTTCATAAGGGGAATATTCACATGTGGTCATAGTATAAATATTTTGTTAGATCCAAAAGATGGAGTTACACATAATAATACATTTATAAAGTTGGATAACCAGACATCGAATGGAACATGTAGCAGTGGAAAAAGTTACTTAAACATATCCCACAAGGGTGCAAACGATTCAGAATTTCTAACAAAGGACTTTGTTTTATATACATTTGAAAATAGGAAATCAAAAAGTGCGAGCGGTGGAGCATCACACAATGGAGAAATAGCTACATCTTGTGAAAATCTTACTAATAACAATTCATCAAAAGTATTACAAAGGAGAGAAATAAAAAACAAACTCGTGAATAATGGAAGAAATTCTATGTGGCATTTCACTCTTCCAAATTCGAATTACATTTCAAATGAGGAAATGGCAAATATTTCACCAATCATAGACGCACAAAATTACGCAAAATGTCTACCCCAAAATACAAAGAAAATTTTTCTAGGGGAATATCAATTTTATGGAATTGATGAAGAAAAAAAAATTTTAACATGGCACACAGATGTTCATACAAAAGATAAAATAATTTATAACTATCACACAAAATTTGTTACCTACATAAATCTTTTTGAAAAAATAAAAGTTGTAGATATATCATGTGGACAAAGTCACACTCTGTTTCTAACTCAATGTAAAAATTGCTATGCCATGGGAAGTAATGACAATTACCAAATATCCTCAGAAAAAATAAATAATAATAAAATTTGTTTTTACTCTACTCCTCAACTGATTAGATTAGATAAAGATGTTGTTAAAAAAGTTAAATGTATTTCTGCAGGATATTCACATAATATAATTTGCACATATCGAAATGAGGTGTACGGATGGGGAAATAATCTGCACGGTCAGCTATTTCTGAACAAGCAATTTGTAAAATCTCCTACTCTTATATTAAATCCGAACATATGGACCAACTTGATGATAAAAAAAAGGAAACTTAAAAAGGAGATACTCAAAAATAATTTCGCACGTGCAACTAGCCAAATTGGAAATGATACAGAGTGCAAATGCAAAGAAGAAATAAATAACTACATCTTTTCTTCTTCCCTCTCCCCCTTCTCAATCAATGAACAGAAGAAATACACAGTAGAACCCATGAAAAGGGATAAATTGTGGAATGTAAAACTAATCAAATGCATTGATGAAGAATGTGATAAAATAAAAAAAAGGAAAGAAAAAAAAAAATTTCAAATTGGAAAAATATGTTGTGGATTTTCTTTCTCTTGTCTACTTTTGAAAAATAAAAACTGCTACGTAATTGGAAAAACAAATGTAACATGTCCCAGTGAAGCAGAAAAAATAAATACCCTTGTAAGGATAAATAAAAAAAAATACATAGACGACGTTTACTGTAATTTTTTTAACATCATTCTTGTACATAATTTTAAAATAGAAAAAATCATCCCCAGAATTATTCATCCCAATTCTGAAAAGACCATTTTAATTTACACAAATTTACCCCTTAAGGATTTTCTGAATTATAGGATCAAATTGAACCATAGATATGCACATAAATGGGAGAACATAGATGCCATCAGTGAAAAATCTTCCGATTGCAAAAATGATGAAACATCAACTCATGTGGATTTATATGTATGCTATCAAAACGAGACTGGAAATGGAGAGAATAAGCACGGACGCACAAGTTGCGACAATTGTAGAAATGGAAAATATCCTGGGAGTAACAGAGGGGGAGATCAAAAATTGAGAAATAAGATGGACATATATACTCACGCATTAGAAGAAAAAAAAGAAATATATTGTGGATCTTACAAAATGAAAGAAAGGGAAATGAACAAACAACTGTTTTTAAAATTGTATAATGAAAAACATTGTATAGAGAATAATCAATGTAGTATTGTGCTATCTGAATATAAAGGACAAGTGATTCATCTATCCCCTAACAATTGCGCACTAATGAAAAATATAAAATTAAAAGTTAAAATTAAGAAGGTACCTATCAGTGTACAACCATATGACATATACATTCTTTATCATTTCACAGATGAGTATCAAAATGAAATTTTTAAATTTAGCAAAGGAAAGCTTAGAAGAGGTGGAACTTACATTTATACAAAATTCCCTTGCTTAAGACAAGAAAATTTTTTTAAATCTACAAATCAAACATTAACTAAAATTAATAGCAAGGATATTATTTATACCAAGTGTGATACTGGAAACACTCTTGAAGAAAAATATCCCAGAGGACAGAACCCGATCCTCATAAACACATTTACAAAATGTAACGTTTACTACTCCCTTGGATATAATTTCTATCCACATTCTCTCCCAATAACAATAATCAAACCAGAAATATTAAACATTGTGCCAGATTTTATTTACATACATGATAAGAAACTGATTCATATAAACATGATGCATTTATGCAGTAACTTTGAATTCATTTATGTCACTTTGTCTAATCCCACATTTTCCATTATACGTAAAAAAGCTCATTACAATTCGACGCAAGGAAATTTCTTTTTCTCCTCCCCCTTAATTCCGATTGGGAAATTTAAAAAGGCTAATCTAGGTAATGCAAAAAAAAAAAAAAAAATGGAAAGTGCAAATGAGCGGAAAAGTGGCGCAAAATTGGCAGAAAAATGAGAGATACAGTAAAATAGCGCGAACGGAACATGCGCTCAGTAGAGAGCATAAAAAAGAATAAAAAAAAAATAAAAAAAAAAAAATAAAAAATAAAATTCAAATACTTAACATTGAATGAAATTCCCTCCTTTTTATCATTTTACACATCTTTGTCAATATGTAAACTAACTTGGGCACTTTCAGATTTCATAAAATTCCACGTATTCGTCTCGTACAATAATGTTGAATACAGTCAAAACGAAATTATTCTGACCATTTCAAATGTCAGTTCATAGGTAAGAGAACGGAACTTAAAAATGGGTAGCGTGAGGTTAAGGAGATTGAGGTAAAATGAGACACACTCTCCTCCCTATGCATAACCGTATATCCATTCTTAAGAAGTGCAAATTTTTAAACTGCATCGAAAATAGGAAAATATACACGTTACATGCACATGTGCATACTCGTGTATGTTTACTTTTTTTTTTTTTTTTTTTAACACTGTTTGATTACTTAATTTTGACTCAAAAACCCTCCACATGCTACAAATTTGTGCATTCATTTTTTCCCTTCACATTACACTTATACAAATAAGTGTAAATTATCAAAAGGATGAGAAGGAAAACGTGGATATTTGTCTGCATTGGATGGTGTACAATATATGGCAATTTTATGACTTACTGTTTTGCTTTCTATTACTCTATGGATTTCTTTCTTTTTTATTTCATTTTATTATTTAATTTTTTTTTTATTTTATCTTATCTTATTTTATTATTTTATTTTATTTTATTTTTTTTTTCACTAGACTACACCTTATTTCATTATATTATATTTAATTATTTTGCTAATAATTAAGTGTCACATATGTTTTTAGTTTAAATATGTATATTAGGGGGAAAAAAAAAGGGAAAAAAAAAAAGGGAAAAAAAGGCAGTTACAAAAAATAAATAAATTCATAAAGTTTTTTTTAAAAAAATGCAACACAAGCTTATGATCTTCTTGTGCGTGTACAAGAACACGGAGAACTATTCTCAAATAAAACGGAAATTAATTATGTTTTTCTCCAGCACATACTTAAATACAAATTAAGTGCATTTTCTAATACCCCTTCCTTGTGGTTATATCTACGAAAAAAAAAAAAAAAAAAGGTAACAAAAAATAAAAAAAAGCATACATATTTGAAATGTAATCGAAATTTAACAAACACAGAAATGTGTCTATTTCTATGTCTATTTCTGTGTCTATATCTATATCTACGTGCACATGTTTTCATTGCTGCACGAATGTTGGCAGGGAGGACCCTTTCCTCATCTACTTACATCCTCTATTTCTAATTTTTTCGCGTTATTGATATCTTCTTGTGCCTCCTCGTCTGACTCATCATCCAAAAATTCAACGCCATTCTGTCCATCATCATCGAAAATATCCGTTTCATTAATTTTGGCAGTTTCTGGTAATTCACCATGCGTTTTTAGACTCCTTGCTTCGTCAGGTGTGTATCTATTTTGGGAGGATGGCGTGGTGCAGTGAGGAAAAAAATAAATAATACATAAATAAATATACAAATAAATATAAAAATATATATACAAATAAATATACAAATAAATATACAAATAAATGTACAAATAAATGTACAAATAAATGTACAAATAAATGTACAAATAAATGTACAAATAAATGTACAAATAAATGTACGAAAAATATATGCATAAATTAAATAAAACATAATTTATCTTACACATTTTTTTTTTTTTTTTTTTTTTTTTTTTTTTTGTTTTTTCCCATGCATATTTTTTCACACAAAAAAGAATATTCATGGGGTAAACATATTAATGCTTTCTTTAATTTTTTCATATAGTAATAA